AAGAATCATCACAGATAATGCTACCAATTTGAATAACAAAATGATGGTAGAACTTTGTGCTCAGTTCAAGATAAAACATTCTAATTTCGTGACCTATCGTCCAAAGATGAATAGAGCAGTGGAAGCAGCAAATAAAAATATTAAAAGGATCATTACAAAGACCACTGATACTTACAGAGATTGGCACAACAAATTACCCTTTGTTTTGTATGCATATCGAACTACAGTGCGAACTTCGACAGGGGCAACGCCTTTCTCTTTAGTCTATGGGATGAAGGCAGTCTTGCTAGTTGAAGTAGAAATCCCGTCACTTAGAATTTTGAAAGAGGTGAAGTTGGATGAAGCTGAATGGGTTCAGGCTTGGTTTGACTAGTTTAACTCATTGAAGAAAAGAGATTAAAAGCTATTTGCCACGGCTAGATGTATCATAAATGAATGATGAGAGCTCATAATAAGAAGGTTCGTCAAAGAAAATTTCAAGAGGGTGATCTGGTGCTAAAAAAGATCCTGCCAATTCATAAAGATTTCCGAGGGAAATGGATGCCTAATTGGGAAGGTCCATATGTTGTCAATAAGGCATTTTCTGGTGGAGCGTTAATTTTGGCAGAGATGGATAGAAAAAACTGAGAAATCCAGTAAACTCAGACTCTGTCAAAAAGTACTATGCTTGAAGAAAAAAATGAATGAATGAAAAAATGAAAATGAAAAAAAATGAAAAAATGAAAAAGAAAAAAATGAAAAAAATGAAAAAATGAAAAAAGAAAAAGAAAAGAAAAGAAAATGAGGGTTCGAGATGAAAATCCACAAAGGACATCTTGAAACCAAATGAAGACTTTGAGTTGAAAACCTGAAAAGGTGGCTCAAAGGCATTTTGAGATTAGGCATCAGGCAGATAAATCCTCTTGAAGGTCTGATATTTTGAGAGAAGCTTCACGTCTACAGACATTCTGGCAACATTTGAAGTCCTCCAGACTTAAGCTCAATTCAATTCTCCAAGTTACATCAAATAAATTGGTTCAAGAACACTCATGCTAGTGATCCATAAGGGACATCTGACTTGTAGTTCTAAATTTCCACTATTTATATGATTGTCATCACTTTGTAAATTCAATTCCTTGTCAGTAAATTCAAAGTTTGTTATTTCAAGCCTAATTATATTTGTCATGTACATACACATCTTGTAAGTAGATTGACATGGCATTAAAAATAAAAATAAAAGATTTCTTGGTATTACTTTGAACTAATATTTCCACTACAGGGAGTCTAAAGTAAGTCATGACCCTAATACTCGTGTATATAGTCGAAGAGTGTAGGGTAAAACATGGCCAAGGAAAATGCATGTGAGCTGAAATCTCGAAAAGCACATTGAAAACAATGATATTTTGGTGTGTGCTAAGACTGAATCTTGTCAAGAAATTATTTACCTGACAGAGATTAGCAGTTCAAATGGAAGAAGAAAAGGATTTGTATGAGAACGAGAAAAATGAGAACTGGTATAAAGTAGCCCAAGCAAAGTGTGGAACGCAAATGAAAGATCAAATGACGCATTTGAATTGAAGAATTGCATGAAAACAGAGCTCACCATATTAAAACGACATCATGCATACATCAGTAGGCATATATAAATAGGAGCATACTCACCCATTCATGTTCATTGAAATGCTTTGATAGAAATGCATGGATATTCAACAACAACTATAATTCACCCCAGAAAGAGGTGAATTAACATTTCTAGAAGAGTTCATAATGAGAAGAACTCGTCCTAAAGGAGAAGGTTCGAAATGAGAAGAGCATGTTCCTTTCAAATCCACCGCAGAAGGAGGTGAACCAATATTTCCAGAAGAGTTCATAATGAGAAGAACTCGTCCTAAAGGAGAAGGTTCGTAATGAGAAGAGCATGTTCCTTTCAAATCCACCGCAGAACGAGGTGAACCAACAATTCCAGAAGAGTTCATAATGAGAAGAACTCGTCTTAAAGGAGAAGGTTCGTAATGAGAAGAGCTTGTTCCTTTCAAATTCACCCAGAAGGAGGTGAATCAACATTTCCAGAAGAGTTGATAATGAGAAGAACTCATCCGACAAAAGGAGAAGAAGTTCATAATGAGAACAACTTGTTCAACCTTAGCTCGATTCATCACATATGGAGTTGAATCAGTAACACCTCACTCGAGGGATCAACATTTTCAATGGAGAGTTCATAATGATAATAACTCATCTGATGAGGGAGAAAAAAGTTCATAATGAGAAGAACTTGTTCAACCTTAACTTGTTTTCATCGCATACGGAGTTGGAACAACACCAACATTTCGTTCATCACAGAATGAGGTGGATCAAACATTGTCATCTAAATCCGTCGCATAAGGAGTTGGATCGTCATCACTATTGGTGCAACTATCATGAGAAGAGAATAATTGACATTTACAGTGAAGAGGTTGCAATATGATAAGAAGAGATCAATATGAAAAATGTTGCTTTTATATATTTGCTTCATTCCCGTTTCACAGTAATGAGCAAAGAGGGGCAGTTGTAGCCACCATTTTTCATACCCCAACAGAACCCTAACTTAACTTTACCCTAGAGATATCATGCCTTCAACCGTCACCGCCATTTTCCAAGCCTCCTGCAGAGATATCAACAAAACCCCGTAATATCCGGGGTATTAAAAACATATCATCATTCACATAGTGGCACCACAGTAGATCCACAATAGATCTAGGATTTTTTTAAAAAAACCTATATAAATCGGTTATAAGAACCGAGCTATGTAACAAGAGAAGGATTTTTTTTACCTATTCGTTTTCTCTTTGTTGTTTAAAAGATAATAAAAACAAAACAAAAAAAAAATTAAAAGTAGAAGTATAAGGGGTTTACCTTACGGTTGTGGTGCTCCTCGGTGAATAGGGTTGTAGGGGAAGTGATAGGAGTCGGGTTAGTTGAGTTTAAGCCAGCAGCTCCGCCGTGTGTGGTGGCTCGTTTTGGGTATGGTATCTCTCGGCCAAAGGATGGACGAGGGGGCTCGATTGGGTTTTCGTCAGGGTTTATTGGAGATGGTTTTTGACGAGGTGATGGTGGATAGTTGAGAGAATGGCCACCCATGTAGGGTGGCCGAAGCGGTGACGGTTGAGATTATTTGTTGAGTGGCCACCGTGGGTTGAGGGAGGAAGAAAAGAGAGAAAGAGTTGGGGATTTGAGGGTATCATGCGAAAATGAATCTGGAAAGGGGGAAAGGAGTTGATATTTAGGGTTTTTGGGCAAACCACGCTAAGGTCCCTAGTCCTTTAGCGTGTTTCACACTATGGTCACTAGTTTTAGGTTAAATCACCCTATTGGTCCTTTCTGCTTAATGTGATCAGCGTTTTAGCCATTTTTAGGGTTAATCAAGCCTCATGTCCTAGTTTTAGCTTTTTTTTGCGATTTAGTCACCATTTCCTTTAATTTTCTAAGATTTACGAATTAGATGCATGATTTTATATTATTTTAATTTAGTCCTATGTTGGATGTATTATTTTTTGTTCGAGATTGGCTACTAATGTTGATGTTTTTTCTATTTTAGTCTTATGTTTATGGTTTTATCATGATTCTGGTGCTTCCATTTGTTATTTTCTTGTCTAATGCTAGAATATTTACTTTATTTATGTTTAGGATATCAAAGTTACTTTATAATTATTTTGTCACTATATTATGAATGAATCCAATTGTATATTATTTATTTATACCATTAAAGTATGTTTTATGTTCTAGGTATTTATTTTACTTGTATTATTATACATTATTTTATGTACATAAGATTGTATGTAGAGCATGGTATAAATTTTATTTTATTTTCATTTTATTTTAGAATAAATATTTGGTTATATGTTTAGTATAATTTTTAGAAAATATTTATATATTTTTAAAGTAATGTAAAGTTAAAAAATAAATGTAGAATTGTTCTTTTAATCCATGTGTATTTATATTTTTTTCTCTAAGTGTTTCAATGTATCATATTTTATTTTGTTTAAAAGCGTCAATAACATAACTTAACCGATTACATAATTGGATTAAGGGAAGTATTTATGTATTTTTAAATATTAAGAAGGGACAGTCTTAAGACAATTAGATGTCATTTTCTAATATTTTAAAATAAATAAATATTCCCACTATAGAAACCTAAAAAATTTTGATTGCATTGAAAATTAATTAATTTTGAAGGGAAAAAGAAATATTCACTATTTTAAACTTATCGAGACAATTTGCTAATTTTATTAGATAATAAGTCTCGACATTTTTAAATTATTGAATATCATTTATCTTTTCTAATAATATAATTTAGATCAATGAATTTAATTTCTTTGTTTGGTTGAATAAAAATTATTTTAATTTGAATTCTTATGAAATATTATTATATTCCTTTTATTTCAGTTGAAAAGAGAAATATTCGTCTTAAAATATTTTAGGGAGTATTTTCTCTTCAATTGGAAATAAGAAGAATATTTTATATATTTTTTTAGAATTTTTGTCCTTAGAATTTTTGTATGATTGAATTCGGAATAATGTAATCGTAATTTAAATATATATTCCAACTCTTAGATTTCTTAGATTTTTACTATTTAGAGACAATATATAATCGATAAGTATTAATTTTGGGCGTTGTTTGGGTGTTTATCATTTCCCACACGTAATCGACCCCCAAACCCTTTTTATTACTAAAAAACTAAATTTCTGATTACACGTAGATCAGTGCATCTTTTAAAATGACGTTTTTCTTAAAAAAAAAATTTTAAAAGAAGATTTTTGGATATTCGACTTACCTAACCCAAAAGATCGATGACGACTCCGAAATATTTTTTTTACAAAATCGAATTTTTAAAAAATGAGTTAAGACTCGTCGTATCGCCGAAAATCGATTACGACACGTATCATATTAATCGAGAACTCAACCCGATCCGATTTGACCGACCCATAACATCCAACTGCCCCTACGCAATTCAAACAACATCGTTCCTTCTCGGAGACCTGCAAAACAAAACTCACATTGGTAAAAAAAAAGGCTCTTTTTCTCTCTTTGTAAACCAAAGTGATGAGCAACCCCATTGAACCAGCAACGTCAACGAGCGACCCGAATTCGACTCCGAGCCCGACCATTCTCCTCCATCCGCGGCGCGAGCCTTTCGAGCACGGCCTCCTACCAATCCAGAAGCTTGTATTCACCGACCCGGTTCAAGCCCTAACCCCTCTCAAGCAACGGTTCTCCTCCTCCTCCTCAACTCACCGAGTCGTCTCCGCGGCCCTCTCCGATGCACTTCAGACCTCGACCGACCATGCGCGTCTCATCCTCGATACTCTCTCCTCGGTTCTCCACTCCGAATCCGACCCGCTTGTCACTGCCCGCCCCGAGGATGTCGACTCCGTTGGCGCCGATTTGCGTGATCTGATCTTGTTTTTGTACATTCAATCCTACAAGAGACTTTTACCTCGCTCGCACAAGGACTCCGCTGCGGTTGCCGATGTTTGGCCTTCGACGTCGGCTTTCGACGGTTTCTTGTCAGCCCTCTCGCCTTTGCAGGTAAGGATTTTGATCATTCGCCATCCTCCTTGATGAAATGTGTGTTTTTAAATGGATTTGTGATTTTTTAAAGTTTGGTGGTTAACTGGTTATGATTTAATTCAATTATCATTTGAACAATTGCATCAGATTCATGGCTACTTGAAAAATGAACTTCTTCATTGCTGGGTTGATAAAATTCACTGACAATTAACTCTTGATTGGCATCTGGGAGAGAATCATATGCTTCTGTTCTTGTTTTGTAATATTGGACGATGTTTTTTAGGATTGTGTTGATCTTTTTTTATAATTGAGGCTATTTTCTTGGCGTTTTTCTTATTACTCACTTATTTGATTTTCGAAATGAAGCGTGAATGTCTTTTATGATACAAAAGCCAAGAATATTGTTGAAGAATTAAAAGCTTAGTCTTTAACTTATCAATACCAAAAATGCAAGATTATACTTTTATATAAACAATTGTGTTGGGGTACATGTTATAGTTTAACAAAAGATAATTTTGCCCTATTTTTGGGAGAATATTTCTAATATTATTTATTTAGTTGTTTTGCTACTTGCTTTTTTTTATTAAAGGCAGAAAGGACAAAAATGAAATAGTCAATCTAAGAAAATAGCCATATACAAAAAAAAACTACCATACAATTGTTTTGGAATATCAAATGCACGATTACAAGTTTTTACTATTAATTTTTAATCAGCATCAGTGTTACTGTTGCATTTTAGTTCTACTCTTTTTCGTCAATTTTTATTTTTGTTTCAATTATTTAACCTCCCCTTTCTATTAACTGTTTAGGAGTTAGAAAGAAAAAACATAAATATGTCATTTAATTCTGCCTACTGCTTTAAGATGGCTGTCAAATGTGATTAATGCCGCTGGCACATGTTATTTGGGATATCCTAAAATTTTATGATGTCATTGAACTTCAATATCTTAGACAGCAGGATTTCTATCATGATTCATGCTTGTCCCACCTTTTTCTTTTGCTGAGTATCTCTTTGATATGGATTTTACCTTGTCTGTAGACATTTGCAATTATTATGGTTCTATTTGCTGTTAGAAGTTAATGACCGGAGTCTTTTAGTTTATGTGAGCACTTGGGCTTAACCTTTGCACTCATTTCAGCTTGTCCGCAGCAACACCTGCCGGTTTATGCCATCACAGGCTGATGAGGAGGCCCACCAATTGTCATATCTACAAAAGCACTTGGCTAACATCCTCTCTCTTTTGTCAGAGCCGGTGGAGGGGGAAGGCGAAGAGTCTATGGTTTGTAACATTCCTTCTTGCTATTTGAACTCTTATTATGTTTGGTGGAGTGTTCTTTTTCTGTTTTGGGGTTTTGTTTTGTTTTCCTCAATTCAATAAAAAAACAAAAAATTTGAAAACTCAAGGATTGCCTTTTTTTGTTTCTCGGTGGTTTTTTAGCTGAAAATTTCTCTGTAAATGTTCAGAATATAGATTGGAGATTTTATGCATATTTTGTTATCATTTTCATCTGCCTCTCCCATCTTGTGTGACTTTCCTTTGATTTGTTCTGTTATGTTCTCTTTATCCTTCTTTTATCTGCTAGACGGTTATCACTCTTACTATTCATTCTTGATTGTTCTTTCTAGCCGTTGTATATGCAACTCCGTTTTTTTGTGCACATGTATGTGTGCTTGCCATTCACTTCTATGGCTTGGTTTGCTCATGTAAGTACTATTCCTTCAGGTTTTAACTATGGAAGGATTTGAGCACCTTGGATTTCTGATTCAGTTTGGTGATAAGGGATCTGAAGGAGTTCCTTTAAGCCAAGCTTCTCCTTTTTTTGCTAATTCAGATCCTGACATGCCTGCTGTTCCTGTTCCCTCATCACAAGTTCATGATTGGCTTCTAGAGATCATAGCTTCATCTTTGGAGCATGTTTCTGAAAAAAATTCTGCAAAAGAAAGTGGTCTTGCAAGCAATTCCGATCAGGATGTTGCTATGGATGACACTAACCCAAGTTCAGCCAAAGCCTCACAAAGTGCTAGAAGTCCCTTTTTCATTAAGGGCATCTCTAAATCATCTTATGTAAAGCAGGCATCAGATCTTAACAATTCCTCTGTGAAGGTTAGTTGGCTTATATTTGCACTTGCACTGATTTAGTGAAAAATGGAAATGCATGGGTTATTTTTATGTAGTGTTTTTCATGATTCTCATTTAAATGCAGCAAGTGACCTAAACCTCTGAAGGTAGTTTTACTGGATTCTTTTCTTAATCTCCATCTTATAGTCATTTGACTACCATATAGAATCTGTTGAGGGGGAAAAAAGAAAATAGAAACACATATTAGGTTATATCAATGCGACCATCTTTAGATTGGGATGGATGTCTCTTCATTGCGTGTTTTCTGGATGACACAAGATGAAGATGCCAGTTTAGGTTGGAATAGTTTCTGTTGTGTTACTTATGATCAAATAATGGGAAGAATTAGAATAGTTTGTAAATTGTAATTGGTGTCGATTCTCTTTACTGTAATCCTTTGTCTATGTGTGGAATGATGTACATATGGAGAGAAAAAGTCATTATGTTACAAGGCTTGACTGGTACTCTCTTACACTATGTTACTTTGAACTCTTCATTTTCCTTGAAGTACCCATCTCCAACTCATTAGTAGTTGAGTAGGAGGGAATGATCATCTAAATATATGAAATAACTTAGAAATATTAAACATACCCGTGTAAGACACATACCTTTATCTGGTTCTACTCCTAAGTTCGAAGTTCAAACAAGTCTTATATAATATGACTTGAAACAAGAAAGATGAGCGTAGAGCATTTTTATTTCCATGTACGGTGCAGTTAGTCCTACCTTTTTAGTGTCAGCAACCTTGTGGCTTTTTTGTATTGCAAAATTTACAGGCTTTCATGATAAATTCTTCCTAGATTGACTATGTTTTAAACATTTTTTTCAGATGTTGTCTACAGTGTGCTTGAATTCCAAACATTATCTGCAATCTGATGAATATTAGCACTTCTTCAAAATTTGTGTTTTCTTGTAACCCACTAAGTAGGATAAGAGCCTTCACTTGCTTGAGGTTAAACCACTTCTGTTCTTTTACATTTTGACCACCTTCCTTTCAATAAAGTTTTCCTTTTACCCATCATTTGGTGAACCCCTAGCTTGCTTTTATACTAAAACATAATCATATTAGGGTATGCTGAAAACTTCCGATTCTTGATTATTGTTTTCATATTTATGTATTTAGTGGCTTAAAATACCTCTAACTTTACATGATTTATAATTTCAGGTCATTAATTGCCATGATTCAGTCATTTATGTTCTAGCACCTTTAAGATATGCCACCATTTATGGATGCTCTGATGCTACCATAGTTCTTGGAGCTGTTGGCAAGGTATTTTGCCTTTACGCTGCACTAATTTTGGAGTAGTAGAACTACTAAAATGTGGAATTTGGATACAAAATTGTTTCCATCTTTTAACTTTGTATTGATGCACTCAATTGCTGTTTGATATTTTAAATTGCATCCTGGAAGTAGATTTATTTTGATGTCTCTTCATTAGTATACTCATTCACTATTATACTGACTGGGAAATGGACACCACTATTAAAGAATTTATTATATTGTTTATTCGTTATCAAAGACGCTATTGAAAGGCGATCAGGCTTCTTGCTGTTTGATTCGTCATGTTACGACTTTTAGGATATGGTTATATGTGTATATTTGATTCCATTTGCATATCATCTAGCAGTAATCTATGAATTCATGTTTGAAGCATCTGTAGATCTAATGTATAGACATTGTATTCTCCATTCGAAATTCTAAGGTTGGTTGGTCTGTTTTTGTTTGAATGCATGTTCAACAAATGTATCAGAACTTTCAGAAAAATTGCCTCTCTTCATCTCTGCTCCATTGCATATTTTGCTGAACAATAACCTCTCTTCATCTCTATCCCATTTCCTGGCAATGCCAAAATTACTAAAAGAATTTGTATGAAGAAATATGGCCGTTCATTGTGCAAATCAGTTTCTATTGCTAAGGTTGTTAAATCAGCTGTAGATGTTTTCCTGTCCTACATGATATTTGCTTATTTCAACTTTGTGTTAAGTCATTTATTAAATCTTGACTTTGGTTCCGCTTAGTGTTTTCCATCTTGTATTTTTGTTTGCTATAGTTCTTTCGTTTGGAAATGGTTTATCTGCTCCTCTACACATACTCGTAAAACAATCAACCTAATTTTTTTACCTCTGAACAAATGGTCCATTTTCTAGTTCAATTAATGATTTGCTCTTGCCAATAAACATAATATGATTTTTTTCGTTATCATTATTGCAGGCAGTAAGAGTTGAACACTGTGAACGAGTTCATGTGATTATAGCTTCAAAACGAGTTTGCATTGTCAATTGCCGTGAGTGTATATTCTATTTGGGAGTGAACCAACGACCCCTTATTGTTGGCGATAACCACAAGCTACAGGTGAGTGATCCTCAAGCATCCCTTTTGGCCAATGCAATGAGAATTTAATGTGATCACGTAGTTCACACTTGAGTTTTGAGATGAGATAGGAAGAGCCAGCGTAAGATTAAAGAAACCCTCGGTCATACATAAGTACAATATTGGCTAAAGAAAAAGGACATTCGGTTAGAACTGATCCTAAGTGATACATGTGTGACTAACCTTTTAGGCCAGAGTGTGAGGGTGAGTCATATTTGTATACAACAACTGCCTGTTAAAGATTCAAAGTGCTAAGCTTTAGGACTCGATAGAATGACCTTTCGAAGGTAAATTTTAGTATGGATTAGTGGCCTCCTACCATGTTACGATGAATTATCGCTTAGAGATATTGATTTTAAAGAACTTGAAAAGTATCGAGATATTTTAACAAGGCCTACCATTCTTATCAAAAAAAAGTATCGAGATAATTTTGGTAGGAAAAAGAGTAAATCCGTTTATTAATGTGATTTTAGTAGTAACTGCTATGGAGTTATTGCTACAAGGTTGTTAAGCCTTAATGGTAAAGAAGGTGGATACTCAAGCTTTCAAGGTTAAGTTGGAAGATATTCCAACTATTCAAGAATATCCATAGGTTTTTTTTTTTGATAAGAAGTGGAGGCCTCGTTAAAAACCCCCTTCATGATTAAAAGAACACCAATAGGTGCATCCATAGGGGTTACATGGAGAGTTAATTGGATTATCTCCATATTGAAATGTAGAATTTAAAATAAAGGTACTATCCAGTATAATGTTATTCTATAACCCCGTATGGAATGGCTCCAATTGAGCTTAGATAATTAAAGGAATAATTACTAGAATTGTTAAGATCAGGGACTTTCTAGACCAAGCGTGTCATCTGGGATGCACCAGTGCTAGTGGTGAAAATGAAAGATGGATCTATGCAATAATATATGGATTATCATCAATTAAATAATGTAGCAGGGAGGAATAAGTATCCTCTTCCGAGGATTGATGATTACTAGTCTTAGTATTAAAGAAGAGATAATTGACAGGGGAAAGGAATTCAACATAGTGTTAAAGCTTAGCTTGATGTTATGAGTCAAATTATTATTATTTATTTTACGAAGATATTTGTTTCTTATTATCAGGATCATTTTATTATTTATTAGAAGTATGTGGAGATTTTGAGTATTTTATATCACTAAGAGTCATTTCCCTTTTAGCTTAAGTCATTTATTTGAAGTTAACTATATAACCTCTATTTAAATAGGCTAATTGGCATGAATGAAAGTTAAAGTCAATATTTTATTAAAACCCTAAAAATCTTGATCTTGGTCTCATCTAATGATTCCTTAAGGTTTCGATCTCCATTCAATGAGTTGAGTTATCAAACATCATATGTGGCTCCAAGAATAAAGGAAGGCAACTACATCTAGTGTTCTCATTTATCACCCGGTGACTAGATCACAAACAAGGGGCCATAACACTCGGCTATGTTAACCAACCTCCAAGCAGAAGGCAAACTTTATCGAGCTTCCGTCAGAAGTCATAGATTCCTTAAAAGCTTAAATCATAAACTCTGATGGGCCTTAAAGATAGACTTGAAGGTAAAATCTAGTAAGCTCTATAAAATAGGCCATGTTATCCCAATGGCTATTGACTTGGGCTCTGCGTGTGATAATGTGCGTAGATGATTGCAAAAGGAGATAGCTTAGAGGGTATCAATAGACTATATCCCTTCCCTGCCTTGCTTATTTAAGTGATGTTGGATTCTAGCAAAACACTTGAACAAAAAATTTCTTCTCCTGCTTACCTTGTTTATTTCCACTTTTAGGGACATAAAATGTCTATCTACATGTGCTTTTTAAAAAAAATATTTTGTAAAATTTTTCAACATATTTTGTGTACTTCCTCAATAATATTAAGATTGTTACAAAGAAGAGGAAAAGTTACTTTCTTGATAGCCATCAATTAGTATGGTAGGTAAGCATATATACACAAGTAGTGAGGTTTAGGGAGAAAACAACAGTAATTTAATGGAACTGAGGATGCAAACAAGATGGAAGTTGGAACTCTAAACATACATGGGTTGTAGAAACTTTTAGTTTTTGAAACCTATTAATTAAGTAAAAACAATAAAGTTAGCAATAAATCTATTTAATAGCATACCAGGGTTTGGGGGATTTTGTTCTGGTTATTTTAGTTCTAATTGCTACTGTCACTATTTAATTAGACAATATAGAACATTAGGGTTTTCAATGTGTAGTTCCTCTAAGGTTATATTTAGCATATTTAATATCTAATTGTGCTGGAAAATAGAATATGCACCCTTCCTGACCATTACAGATAATTGATTAGATCTTTAGTGACAAATTTCACTTTTTAGACCCATCTCGCTATTGTTTTAGTTGGTTTTGGATAGTATCACAGTTATGAACTTCAACAATCAGGAAGACTGGCAGTTGGGAAATTCTTTTGAGTTGGTTTTGGGTGTTTTTTCTGTTATGGACTTTAATACTCAGGAAGAGAAACTGGGAGGTGCTGTGAATTCGGTATCAATGAGTCTGTTTCGAGATTTTGTTTCTAGGGCGAATTTAATTGATTTGCCTTTAGTCGGAGGTCAGTTTACGTGGTGTAATAATAGGGAAATTCCCACTTTTGAGAGTTTGGATCGATTTTTGGTTGATCAGAGTTATTTTTCTTATTTTCCCAAGATTAGTCAAATTTTGCAACCAAGGTCCGTTTTTTATCACAATATTATTTTGCTGGAGAATAAGGGATGTAATTGGGGGCCGAAGTCGTTTCGCTTGTTTAATTATGCGTTGGAGGAGGAAGGGTTTAGTGAGATGATGAAGAAGGAGCTGCTCAAATTGGGTACAGAGGAGAAATCAATGTCCATTGTCAAAACTCTTAATCGGGTGAAGGACGTGGCAAAGAAATGGTCTAGTAAGGGTTTTCTTCAGCTACCAGGACAAATAAGAACGTTGGAGAAAGCTATCCAGGAAATGGAAATGGATTTGCAACAAGGGATTTCCATGGGATCAATGAATGCTATTGTGGAAGCAAAGAGAGAATTATGGGAGTTACAAAAGAAGGAAGAATCGATTTGGTTGCAAAAGTCTAGATTGAAATGGAGTTTGGAGGGTGATAAGAACACTAGATTTTTTCATCACAGTGCAACAGTTAGAGGGAGGATAAATTGTATTAAATCCCTCAAAAGTTGATAATGAATTCATTGAAGATCCTAGTTCAATTAAAGCTGAAGTGGTGAAGTTCTTCAAGGGGTTGTTTAGTAACCAAACACACTGGAGACAGAGGAGTTAAATCTGGAATTTCTTAAACTTTCGGTAGGTCAATGTTCAGCATTGGAGAAGCCATTTACTGAAGAGGAAGTTTGGGAAGTTATTGTTCATGTTGATAGTAATAAAGCTCCGGGTCCAGATAGTCTGAATTTAGGGTTTTTAAAGAAGTTTTGGAATTTCTTGAAGGAAGATGTGATGCTGTTTTTCCTTCATCTCCCTTATTCTTAAGAAGGCAAATTCAGAGGGGTTGGAAGATTTTAGGCCAATTAGCCTAGTGGGGGGATTATATAAAGTTCTTTCTAGGGTCTTAGCTAGAAGATTGAGTTTGTGTATTAACGATATTATCAGTTCGTCTCAATTCGCTTTCATTCCGGGAAGGAACATATTGGACTGCTCGTTTATTGCAAATGAAAGTATTGACTTTTGGAGAAAGAAAGGGTTGAAGGGAGTAGTCTTCAAGGTCGGTTGATTGGCCAATTGTGATGCAAATAATGAGCAAAATGGGGTTTGGTGACAAGTGGAGGTCTTGGATGTATCAATGTATGTCAACAGCTTCGATTTCGGTTTTGGTAAATGGGTATCATACGTAGAAATTTAAAACAACTAGGGGTCTAAGACAGGGATGTTCGCTTTCGCCGTTGTTGTTCAATTTGGCTGCTGAGTTGCTGCATTTGTTGTTGACTAAAGCTGTGGAAATGGGACTGTTTTCGGGTTTTGATTTAGGAGTTCATGACAGGGCATTTAAGTGATCACATCTACAATTCGCGGATGACCTTATAATCTTCAGTAAAGGTTCTATCCGTGATTTGAGGAATGTTAAAAGAGTGCTGCTAATTTATGAGCTTTTGGTGGGGTTGAAGCTAAATCTAGTTAAAAGCAGGATTTATGGTATTAATGTTGAGGATGGAGAGTTAGCTACTTGGGCAAATGATATTGGTTGCTCGATAGGATATCTTCCATCAGAATATTTAAGCTTACCTCTGGGGTACAAGAGGAATTCGGTTGCTATGTGGGAGCCAATAGTGGCGAGATTTCATGCGAAATTGAGTGGTTGGATGGCTAATTCCTTGTCGTTAGCAGGAAGGGTGGTGTTGGTCAAATCGGTACTCTGCTCTCTCCCCTTCTATTTTCTGTCCATTTTCAGAATTCCAGCTTCTGTGTTACTAAAACTTAATTCTATCATGGCTTCATTTCTGTGAGGGGGGGGGGTCGACTGACAAGAAAAAAATCCATTGGGTCAATTGGAAGTTGGTTACTAAACCAAAAAAATTGGGGGTATAGGGATCCCAAATTTATAACTGTTGAACAGAGCTTTGCTAGGGAAATGGGTATGGAAGCTTGCATCAGAAAAGAAGTCTTGGTGGAAGAGAGTGGTGTGTGGTATTTATAATTTGGATCCAAATTCCATTATGATGGGGAATTCCTGGTCAGGCCGTGCATCGTGGATTTGGAAAGGTATGGTTAAAAACTTTTTCAACAATGATGGTTTTGGAGATTGTTTTAGAAGGAATATGCGTTTGAAGACAGGGAATGGGGTATCTATGGAGTTTTGGAATGACGTTTGGTTAGGTGAAGTTCCCTTGAAAGTTTTGTTCCCTAGACTTTATGTTCTTTCTAACAATAAGAGGGTAAAGTGATGGAGTTTGGGGAGAATGACTCGGGTGGGTGTGGGACATCCAAATGAGAAGAAATTTGGCTGATTGGGAAATTGAACATTGGCTACAGTTGATTACTATGTTGAATAATATCTCCCTATATCCTGCCGAAGATGATTGTTGGATTTGGTTAGGGAATGGAGAGGGCTGCTTTACAACGAAATCTTGTATTAATACTTTCATTGATCAAGATGGGTCTGGGCAGAATCAGGAGAATTGGGAAAAACATATTTGGGTAGGGATTGCACCTCCACGGGTGGAAACGTTTGTATGGCAATTAGTGCATCAGAGATTGTCGGTTAAAGAGGAATTATTGAAGAGAGGTGTGACAGAGATTGTTGATCATCTATGTGTATTGTGTGGTCGAGAGGTGGAATCGATTTCACATTTATTTCTGCATTGTAAGATAGTGTGGGGCCTGTGGTCAACATTTTTGAAAATGTGGAATGTGTCATTGGTGATTCCTAAGAATATCACTGATTTTTTCATTTTGTGGGATGATTTACTGCCTAAATCTTCGATCTGGAAATTCATTCCAAGGGCAGTGATGTGGTCAGTGTGGAAATGTAGAAATGAGATTATCTTTTAGAAAGGAAAGCTGGATTTGGTCAGACTGTTTTTCATTGTTCGATTTAGAGTAGCTTCTGGTTTGTTGCAAGGTTTAACGATGTGGTGGTCAGTGTGGAAATGTAGAAATGAGATTATCTTTTAGAAAGGAAAGCTGGATTTGGTCAGACTGTTTTTCATTGTTCGATTTAGAGTAGCTTCCTGGTTTGTTGCAAGGTTTAACGATGTGGTTATTCCTTTAGATTCCCTAGTAGGCGATTTAAAACTTGCTGAGTCGAGGGGAAAACAACGAAAGGGCTGCTCTCAATCTTCTTGCTGGGTTCCTCCCCCGGAGGGGTTCTTAAAGTTTAATGTTGATGGAGTGATGGTATCGGGCTGGGATAAAGGAGGTATTAGTGGTCTGATTCGGGACAGTAGAGGTGTGTTGCTTCAGTGGTTCTCTGAAGCAGTAGGGGGAGGTCCTCCTATCATGGCAGAGTTGTTGGCGATTAAGAGGGGGCTTTGTCTTATGGAAGAACTAGGTTCGGTTTCTAATAAGAGGTTTATTCTGGAATCTGACTCAATTAATGCTCTGAAGTGGATCAAGAATCCGGGTTTATGTACCCCTATGTTTCTATCCTTGGTGAACGATATAGTTTCGCTTTTGGAAAGAAAGGATATTATTATTAAGCATATTTTGAGGGCGGCAAACTGGGAAGCTGATAAACTAGCTAAAGATGGCATAGGGTGATTTCTTGGTTTATATTGGTTGTGTTGATTTGTAGGAAATGTAATTTCCTGTGTTGTAAGGTTTTTGAGTTAAGTCTTATTTTCTTCAGTTGGAGGTTTTGGAGTCTGTTATGCTCTACCTATGTATTATTGCTCTTATGAATAAAATTTTCTAGGCACTCTTTTCCTCCTTCCTAGATCCTTCATGCTACTGACATAACATGGAGGGTTAGAAGGGGTTTTTTAATGAGGCCTACTCTTCTATCAAAAAAAAAAATACTCAGGTAGACTAACAGTTGGGAAATTCTTTTCTTAACATCAGGTGGCACCATATAACACATTCTATTCTCAGTTGGAGGAACACATGACTGAAGTCGGCATTGTGGCAACTATCAATAGATGGGATGAACCTTTGGCACTCGGAGCGGCTGATCCGCATGATTCATTATCTCATCCTGCTGGAGTTGCCGATGCTCAGACCGAACCTGCTACACGCCTAGATCCTGATCAGTTCACAAATTTTCTGGTATGCTTTATGTATCTCGTAGCTTAGCTTGGGATGTTTTTATATCTTCCTTCTCTGTTACCTTTTTTATAATTTGTTCATGTACTTGACATAGATTTCTCAATGCACAGATTCCAAACTGGTTTAAAGGTGAACTCACTGGGTCAACAAGGAATAATCCGTACCCCTTACCTGATCCATATTTCGCATCTCAACAGAGAAACGTAAGTGCACTAAGCCCATCCGATGAGTACAAAATTTGACTTTATATGTTGAATTGGTTATATCTGCATGATAGAAGCAATGTTTTGTGTTTAGAACTACTGGTTGGTTTTATTGATCTTTCTAGTATTTGAATTAACTGAAATTTTGTTTTTCTTCCTATTGATTCCTATTGTAATCAACAGCAAAAGAATTTAGGTGAGATACAGCAAATACTGAGAGAAGCTCCTCTTGAAGAAAATCGAAAAAGAGAATTATCATGTGCACTTCATGTATACTTCAAAGACTGGTTATACGGTAATCCATCATTTCTATCCGTTTTGTTGTGTTCTTTTTATTTCTATAAGTGGTGATTTTCATTAAGGGTCCTGATCTTTTTCATGATATGATGCTGTCTGGCATTATTACATGGTCCTTTCTTACTGAATTCAAGATTTTTGTGACTGAAGATTACCAATTCCTGATGAATAACGGTTAAATTCCTCTTGGTTTGAGTATGTTCCCACACATTCTCATTAGTCTTTGCATTTGATTTCTGACTATTTTTGCCTTATCCAATCTCTTTTTGCCTTGTGAATTTTTAAGTGAAATTGAGGGCTGGACATACCTAATTTAGGAGATCAGTAAATGCTGGGATTGAACTGTATGCTATGATCTTAAGAGAGCCTTTTAGTGAATGGTTGATTTACGTAAATCTCGTTTTTCTTTTCCCGTAATACAATTGCAGCTTCGGGAAATATCCGTCAGTTGTACTGCTTACAAGGCGAGTGATACCCGAAGGTAAATCTGCATTATTAGAGGATAGAAGAATGGTTTATGGCTTTCTTTCAGTTTCAAACCCTTTGCCTCCTGTGGGTTCAACAGGCAGCCGATAATCACCCGTTGTAATTCGGATCGGCACTATGGATTGGCAATGCAATCTGATTATATGCCTCTACTAATCTCATTGTAATATTTTTTTTGGATGGAAAGGGAAATAATGGTATTGTTTTGTGAATTTTTCTCATCCCCATGATCTAGCCATGTGTAGTTGAATCTCTTCTTTTTTCCAGGTTTTTTGGTTCCCTGTTTTGAGTTATTATCTTCAATATTTGTGGCCTCTCCATGATATGTTGGTCAATTAGGTAAGGTTGATTACATGCTTCAAAGCTTTTAAATTATGTGCTTGGATTTGGATATAAAAATTATTAGGGATTATTGTTTGGCACTGCCTGTGAAAGTTATGCCAAATGTCTTTCGCATTTATTTAAAATAAATTAATTAATAAAACTTAATACATTTAGTGTTTTTTTTTTATTATTCAGCCGTTTTTGTTCACTAATGGCATTATGACGTAGCTTTTTTTAAATCATCCAGGTATTTAATGTTAGAAACATTTTCATTTTAGGTTCGGGCCCTGATTGACGTTGAATTTTTCTATTAAATAACATGTGTCACGTATTAGTAATTATGAAAATTATAATTTTTTAAAATATATTTATAAAAAATCTTAATTTCTCTTAAATTACAAAAGAGTGTTAAATACCTAAAAACCTTAAATCTTTAATCGGCCAACATATTTTTTGTCATTTTTCTAGTTATATGTCATATACTTGTGGTCGAGATCACGTGGGATTATGATTTTCAGTGTTGGATTCATTGGGTACACATGACGATTGGTTGCGATTTCATAGGGTTATTGATCCCTATGTGGAGGTTTATCGACACCAAAAGGTGACAGATGTCGGTTGACATGGACTCAAGGGATGAGGATTTTCGAAGTTATGGGATTTTTTTAAAGTGTTCCAATTTTTTTCCTTAAATATAATATTAAATTTTAAATAATTTCTTTTTTAAATTACCAAAACGTGACACATATCACTTAACAGAGAAATTTAACGACAATTACGGTCACGGCACCTAAAATAATAACGTTTGTAATGTTAGGTACCTAAATGATTCAAAAGAAAATTTAAATATTTATTTAAGAAAAATAGTATAATTTGAACACTTATTTTATAATTAAACATAATGAAATCGATGAAATAAAATAGGAAAAGAAAAATGAAGGACATACTCTACTTTCCTTTCAAAGAGGTATATTATTTGCCCAATTCATTATCAATTTTTTTGAAAGACACATTATCAATTATTTACATCCTGATATACTACATCAATATTTTAGTCTAATTGTATTTACTTTGTGAGCAAAAAATATTAACCGTTAATAAATTATAGATTTTACTAAAATGAAAACTATTTTGTTTTAAAATAAAATATTTATAAAATATAGATATAAAAAGTAGCCAGTCAATAAAATGAGGGAATTTCTTTAGAATTATGCCTTTTTTTATAAAATATAAATATAAAACAGGTTATTTAATAAAATGTTAGGGTATTTTTTTTAGTAAAGTATACACATGGTCCTCTAATTTTAGGTTACTATTTTATTAAGTTCACCGACTATTAAAAGTTATAAAATGGTCACATGATTATTCATTATGCTTTAAACCCGTCTTTTTTCATTAAAAAATTTACGATATTCTTAGTTGAACGTCAACCTGTTAACTGTGATATGATAAAATTTGATCCCAAAATATCAAACGACTATCATATCTCAATCATTATGTTAACGTCCAACTTATATAATCATCAATTTTTTAACAAAAAAATGATTTTAGAACATAATAAATAGTTGGACAATCATTTTGTAACTTTTAATAGTCGAGGGATTTAGCAAAACAACATTCTATAGTCGAAGGATTATTTTATAATTTTTACTGGTTAATGAATTTAATAAAATATACCTTATAGTTGGTAATTATTTATCTATATTTTATAGAATTCACTAATTTTATTTAAAATAAAAAATATCTTAATTTAAAATAAAAATTTGTAATTAGAATTGTAATTTTTTTTTACAGAAAGCGTTAGTAAATTAATAATTCAAAAAAGATAAATAAAATTAATAATTTAAGATTATATACTTTATCATAAAATTCAACCAAAGATAAATAAAATCAGATCCAACTGTTGAAAGTGCACCGATTATAGTAAATCAGACTCGAGCATATTTTGGGTCCGTTTGTTTCATGTAAAATGTTTTCCTCATTTTCCAGTGTTTGGTTGGAGGAAAACTAGTTGGTCAACGTAAAACATTTTTATAGTCAACAGAATTTCCTTTGTGTTTTCTGAAAAATGACTTACAATCTGATTTTCCTTAAGTCATTTTTCGAACTTTTCACTTCAAAGAATAAATATACAAAATAATTTTGTTCTATGAATTTAATATTAATAAAATATTTTAATATCATTTTAATCAAAATATTAATTATTAAAATATTTAAAATATATTTATTAATATTTCTAATAATATAATATTATATTTTTAATATTATAATAAAATAATTAATTATATTATAATAATATAAGATATTTTATTATATTTTAATGACATATAATAAATTATTAATAAAATTTATATTATTTATTAATTTCATAGAAATAATATTATTAAATTATTAATAATGAATAATAATATTAATATAATAATCTAATAATATTTTAATAAAGATATTTAAAATATACTAATTAATATTTTTAAAATACAATATAACACTATTACTTTAATAAATAATTAATATAATTTATAATATTTTTATTTCAATAAAATATATCAATATTAATATTTTTATTAATAAAATTATAAAAATAAAATTTTAAAATAAATAAATAATTTTAATATTTTAAAAATAATAATAATAAATTTTATGATAAATAATATTATTTATATTTACTATTTGTAATAAATAATTTTAAAAAAATTATCAATTAGTGAAAAATGATTTAAATAATATCTTCCAAACATCGTAAATATTTAAAAAAATATTTTTTAAAAAATATAATTTATTTTATGAAATTGTTTTCTAAAATATATTTTTGGTGAAAAAACAAAGACTTTATGTCTTATTTTCAATGTTATTAAAACCGGACCGGACCGACCGGTTCGACCGGTTGAACCGTAAACCGGTGGCCTGTCCGGTCCGGTTAACTCCCAAAATCGGATTAGCACAGAACCGGTAAATAATCGGAAGAATCATCTGAAAATCGGGAAAATCAGGGTGAATCGACTGAAAACCGGCAAAACCGATTTGAACCGCCGGTTCACTTTTTTTCTTTAAAAAAAAATTAAACCAAACGACGTCGTTTGTTCAACGAGCCGAGTCAAATTCGAATATTGCTGAGCTCGACTCGAACTCGAAAACTTTAAAAATAAGCTCAACTCGACTCAAAAACTCACGAGCTAAAAATTATCAACTCGAAATATAATATTAAAACTTGAAATCGAAAAGGCTCGAACTCAGAAAATAATTTAGAAGTTCGATTGAAGCCTAAAATTTGAGCTCAATTGAAGCGAAAGAATAGTTCGCTTTGTGTTCACCAAAAGGCTCCATGATTTTGAATGTCAAATTACCTCTATTATTTATAGAAGTAAGTTAGGATGCTCTTCTATGTTTCTTAGCCATCTGAGATTGTTTTGTTCTCATATTTTTACTCTTTAAACTTTTGGGATACTCTTCTATGTTTCTTAGTCATGTGTGATTGTTTTTTTTAAACAATTAAACCAAATAACATCATTTGTTATGATTTTTTTAAGTCACAATTTTATTTTTTTGATTATAGTTATATAATTATATTTATTATTTAATATGTTTTACCATAAATATTATGTTGTAGTTGATTTGAATCATTTTGTTTCACTTGATTTTATGGTTTTTCATTTATACATGTTATGACTTGTGATATTTTTATACATTTTAATGTTGTAAACTTAAAAAAAGTGTTACATATATATTAATATTGCTTTGAATATTATGTAAAATTAAAAAAAAATATTATTTTATATAAAATCCGGTTCAATCGCGATTGAACCCGATTGAACCAGTAAACTAATATCTTCACCGGTTCAATGTCTGGTCCGGTTTTGAAAACATTGCTTATTTTTATGACCCACAATAGGAAAGCTCATGGAGATGGGTTCGGGCTCTTTGACTGAGTCAGGATGTTCTGCCACTAACTCTTCCGCCGAGTCACTCAACAGCTTCAACGCCGGAAAAAAGATCTTTTTCGCCGCCGCATCCACCACTGCAATCATGGGGACAACAACCAAGTCCGGTGAAGGGTCTTCAAGCTCATCCGGGTCGGGTAGGAAGGGCAGGGGTAGTGGAATGGTGCAAGGGGCTCAGCCTTTAAGGTGTCAAGTAGAAGGGTGTAAAGTGGATCTAAGCGATGCTAAGGCTTGCTATTCAAGGCATAAGGTTTGTTGTATGCACTCTAAGTCATCTAAAGTCCTTGTTGCCGGCATTGACCAAAGATTTTGTCAGCAGTGTAGCAGGTCCGCCCTCCAAATTCCTCCTAATTTTTGGCCTTTCTAGTAGTTTATCAAGTAATTTGTTAATTATCTGTGCCAATGATTGATGGTTTTGAGTTGTATTGGGTTTAAGTTTTGATTTCATTGTTTCTTCTAATCGAATCGGTTTTTGTTTCATTTTAGTATTTTGTTCAAGATTTAACATTAAGTTTTTTAAAATAAATTGAAAGTTTTAAGTATTAAAACAGATCAAAATTGATAGTTTATGTACTAGGCTTAAGTATTGGGTACTAAAATAAAACAAAAACTAAACATTATATATGATTTTAAAACATTAAAAGTTTCGATACTAAAATAGACTAAAACTGATAATTTAGATATAAAATGTGTTTACCCTTATTTTTACAGAGCTTGTTACTTTCTGCTATTTATTAGTCTTGAGTTTTTCTGTTTTTGTACTTATGGATTAGGATGGTGATTTTTCTTATTTATTATTTATTAGGTTATTCGGTGGTTGATTGAGCTTAACTGAATTCGGTCTCGATTATTTTAGGCCAGGATTTAAACCGCAACTATTGCTGTTGCGGTAGCTTTTTCAGTTGTTTTGTTTTTATCGTGATTACGATAATAGTTTGTTATTGTGGTCATTATGGGTATCAGGTTGTGGTTGCTTTTTCAGTTGTATTGTTTA